GTGTGTGTGTGTGTGTGTGTGTGTGTGTGTGTGTGTGTGTGTGTGTGTGTGTGTGTGTGTGTTTGCAACACTGGTTGAATTAAATGACCCCAATAAACCACTTCTTGTCTCTGGCCCTTTTTGTACAGTGTTGAAATAACTTGAGGATAGAGAAACTATCAAGATAACAAGTTATCTTCTATGAGTCATCAGCCCATTAACAAAACACTTTCTGTGTTACCAAACTCTGCTCTTGGCAAGTCCTCTTCACATCAACCTATAGCCTCTACCACCAGGCTATTTCAGATCATTAAACAGAAAGCCCTGTTTGACAGCACTGCTAGTGGGAAGGACACTGCTACCATCACTACAATAGACACGGCTAAATTTATTTCTACCTTGAGCAAAACAGATCTGTAGAAAGGCCTCTGATCCTTGATATTATTTACTCTCCTCTTCCATTGTTTTTATAAACTGTTCTATGGCCTAATAGCACTGGCTTGAGTTAAGCAGAGTATGGAGAGGCAAAGTGTAAATATCGTCACATAGCTCTACCAATGCACCTCCACTTGTTCTGTGCTGTATAAAGTAATTATTCCATCCCGGGGTTTCTAATGAGCGGTCTTGAATTTTCCAAAGTGATGAATAAAAATAATAGATGATAATACTTAGCAGTTCCACTGCCCTCTGTCAAAGAATCTCAAAGAGCTTTACAAACATTATGATGTTAAAGTTTCTCTCTGCCCCTGTGAGGTAGATCAATGCCATTTTTCCTGTTTTACACATGAGGAAACAGAGACAGAAAGAATAAATGACTTTACCCAGGATCACATGAAATGTCTGTGTCAGAGCCGGCAATAGTATTCAGATCTCTTCACTCTGAGTCTTCTTTCTTAATCACAAGACCATCTTTTTCCCCCTCCTCGCATTAGTGATTTCATTATTACACATCAGATTCTTTTCATTAGTAACTTTATTTGAATTTACTTCTTCAAAGGCCACAGTCTAACACATTATCCCACTGTGCCACCCAGTCTCCGTGAACTGGCTTTTTAGTTATCCAAAGATTTTGGGGTCTTCCTAGTTGCTGAATCTTCCTGTTCTCAGAAGAGAAACTTAATTGAAAGAAAGTCACTTCGGGATAGGTTGTGGCTGGCTGCACTTCCTAGTCCTTCCTGAAAGATTGCCTTTTACCATTGGCCACTTCAGATTCCACTTCTCAAACCTGTTTCCTTTCAGCTATAATCTCAACCATTTGTGTAAACAAATGATCAAATCTGCATTTGTCTTCAGCACCCTTTTCTAACTCATTCATGGCGTGTACCTAGCTCCACTTGTGCTTTAGAAGGCTAGCATTAATTCTTCAAGCATGTATCATTGGTTCCAGCTTTTATGGGGAATTATACCATTTCACACGACTGAGAGCTTGGTTTTACTGGCCAGTGATTCTATATCCCATTAAACTGCTCACGGTCTAGCCCTGCCACAGGACACAGAAGGTTCCCAACCAAATTTTCATGACTACATGCTCCATGACAGGTTAGAGTGCAAACAACTGAATGGGAGATGGTTAGTGGGAGCATACCTGGGCCCAGAAACAGCATATTGTCAATACAGATAGGGGATGCCTCTAGTTATAGTCTCAAAAGGGTTAACTACCATTAGTTCCACGAGTGCTAGAAGCTGATAATCAGTATCACAGTATTTTCAAGAGAGAAAGAGGTGTCAATCACTTCACAGCATATGAGAAAGCAGTGCACTTTCTGAATCTCACTGCAAAACATTTATTTCAAACTCAAACACACACACACACACACACACACACACACACACACACACACACACACACACACACACACACACACTACT